TTTCTCACTCGCTCTCTCACTCTCTCGCTCGCTCTCTCTGTCTTTGTCTTTCTGTCAGTTTGTCTGCCTGTCTGTCTATCTGTCTGTCTGTCTGTCTGTCTCTTCATATCTCTCTCTCTCTCTCTCCCCCTCTCTCTCTCTCTCTCTCTCCCTTTCTCTCTCTCTCTCTTCCTTTCTCTCTCTCTGTCCTCTTTGGTTCCCGATTACATCCATTAGTAGCTTTCCTATTAACATTAACTTTACAAATTTTACTAACCAAAAATTTCTTATTTATATCCACACATCTATATATAAAAAAGGATATGCACACATATCCATACCTGCACAACTTTATTATCCATATCCAAACATCGTTGAAATATTTTCAGCTCAGAAAGCAACGTTTTTCAGGAGCAACAATTGATCCCAATTTATGTATCTTTTCTTGCCCATCTCAACATTTTCGAATGTGAATTTAGACAAATATACCTCTTGAGCAATAGCAACCGATATCACAGTATAACAATCATCTGCAATTAAAACAAAAATCCACACAGCTATAATATATATTATTATTCACGCATCAGTACTCAAATGTCAATAGCCACACATCTATAGCCACACCTCTGTGAACACACATCTGTATCCAAACGTCTGTACCCATATTATACGTGTCCAACCAAACCAGCGCTCATAGTGAGCTTGCGCGGATATTTATACTTCAGCCAAGCTTGTGTTTACACATTCAGAGACTCCAAAAAGGAACTGTGAATTGCATGAGACAGATGAAATGCAACAGAGCCGCAATGATAGAAACTAGGAGAAAAAAGACGATCCAAAATATTTAAAACCAGAAAAGCACGCAAATACAATATCAATTTTCGAGAGGAAGAGAACGGGAAGGAGGGGGGAATTTAGAGACATAAAGAGAGAGAGAGAGAGAGAGAGAGAGAGAGAGAGAGAGAGAGAGAGGGGGGGAGTAAGAGGAGATAGATAGAGAGATAGAGAGGAACAGAGTAAGAGAGAGGGTAACCGAAAGTTGAGCGCAAGTGAGAGAAATGTATCAAAAGCAAGAAAGAGAAGATAATAATATAAAGACACAGAGACAAGCAGGAATCACAATGAGGAGAGACTGTCATCCACACCAAAAGACAGAGTGAAGTTCAATGAAAAATCAATGCCAAACGCTGCAAACAGGACAGAAATATCACGTCGTCTGATGACAAATATTACAAAGATGAAAAAAAATCGATTAAAGAAAAACCAACACAAAAAAGAGAAAAAACAAAATTATAAAGAAAAAACAAGCAAACGAAAAAACTCACAATGATCATGCCCCTACCGGCCCAATTACCCGCTTATTTGCAATGCTGTTTCCCATCCCCTTTGTACGGACACATGTCTGACCAGAAAGGGAATTTTTAAGCCGCTGCAAAAAACGTCCTCATGCAAGGTCTATAGAAAATGCCATCATTAGCGATGAACGCCATGGCGAGGCGCAGATTTTAAAATGCGGAAGGAAGAAAAATGCCTGTGAATTCATTATGTCGTAATACTGTTAATCTATTTTATGCTTAGAGCTAACGAGGGGTTTCTCAATGAAATTGCTCTCGGGCAGAGAAGTAAAACGATTTTGTTTCTAAAATTGAAAAGAAATCCCTTCAATAATAAGGCTGATTGAACTAAAGTATACCTCTATTCAAAGGTCTAAGTTCAATTACGCTCGTGAATACCAACTGACGTCATCCTTATGTGAGATATTTCCCGAGAAAGAGAATTAAGGTGAGAGCTTAAGGCATCTTGATCTACATTTACGTAACAATAATATTTACCAAGCATGCTGACAAAGCATGTTCATGCTTTTTAACATTCTAAAAGCCAAATTTGTCAATCTGTAAATAGATCCAAACAGATAGATAGATAGATAGATAGATAGATAGACACTCGTAGATAGATAGATAGATAGATAGATAGATAGATAGATAGATAGATAGATAGATAGATAGATAGATAGATAGATAGATAGATAGATAGCCTGCCGCCAGCTGTGAAGGGATAAGGAAGCCATTACGGACGGAAAGACCACTCAGTTGCACTCGGACAGTGTCACAAGTTCAGTGAGGCAGATCTCCTTATTCTTAGACTTCCCGGAGTCTGTAGAGTAGGGTTCACTTTAAAAGCTTTTAATTTTGTTTGTTTTTATTTTCTAGCGCCTCAGCTGAACCTGCTATAAAGGAAAGCTAAAGAAGTTTGCGGGTCCTTTTTTAATGTTTTTTAAAACTCTCTCAAACTGCAGTTTGAGGCACACGCTAGTGTATGTATTATCTTGGAAGTTGTTCTCATCCGAACGCCTTTCGTGAACGGTTTTTTTTCCACGTGACGTATTTAATTTTTTAAAATAACAGTACTATGTGGCATGTTTGCATTTCGTTATCATTTGACCACTATAATTGAGGTCCGCAAATCTCTAATTTCAAGGGGTTGAGCCCCAATGAAAATGTTGCAGTTTGAGGCAAATGCTGTTCTTAAAAACCCCAGTAAGTTTTTTTCTATGAATAGAATAAAAAATACACAGTGAAAATGGGATATATTTTTGCAATATTATTATACAATATATTTAGTTCCGCGTTACATGTAATGTCAGGCTCACAGCCTTGCACACAAGGCACTCAAGTTCGATTCTCCCTTCGGACAAATGTTCACTGAGCATCTCCGTTTTTCTGCTGGGATGTTTAC